TTATTTTAATATCTTAAAAACTGATCTTGATGTGCTCTTAAAATTCTATTATCTCTGATGGAAGGGTGAATCAATTAAAAAATCACTTCACCCCTTGCCCAATCAAACACCGCCCCCCCATTTAAAGTAAGAGATAAAATACTTTAACTATGATACCTTACTGAGTAAGAACAATTTTACTCAATCAGTGAAAAGCATTGAACTTGTTTAAACAAGCTAATTAATCTATTTTGAGAGAATAAAGGCCTTTGAATAAAATGAAGGGATGCTGCAAAGGAGATGTGTTGGTATTGGATGAGGAGACTTGTTCATGCCCTGTGGGATTTCGATAGTATAACAATCAAGTTCTGAACCCAAGCATTCAAATATCTTGCAGTCTAGAGGTGAGAACAGTTCTAGTCAAGACCCTGAAAGGGAATTGCTTGCTAAAAGGTGAATTAGAACTCCTATATTTCTCAACTCCTGAACAGAGAGAACATGGAAGAATCAGAGGATTTGGACCTCAGCATCCTATTAATACCCCTGGAATTGCAGCAACTGTTGGCAGTGTCTATATTGGGAACCAAGGAAAACTAGATACATCAAAGAAAGGCAGGCTTAGGACTCTACAAGGAGTCCATCAGAAAATTACTCCACGATTAAGGGAAACTCCAGAGGGCTCCATAATGAGGACAAAAAGATAACTGCTGCATATCCCTTTATCACATATACTCTATGCTTGAGCATACTTACTCTTAGACTGTTCCTGTACTTGTGGGAGAGTATGCCCTTGGTTTAAGAGAAAAGCTTTTTATCAACTTTTCTTACTATATTGCCTTAGTTAATATCCAGGCCTATAGGCTAATTATGTTTGTCTGGTTAATTGATATCATTTGATTATCATTGGGTGGAGCACACTGGTAGGGGCTCTGAAATTACAGCTTTAGAAAGAATACCTCCGGGCAGCTAGGTGGCACAATGGATAGAGCTCTGGCCTTGGAGTCAGAATGACTTGAGTTCAAATCCAGTCTCAGACACATGACACTTACTAGGTGTGTGACCCTGGGCAAGTCACTTAACCCTGATTGCCTCACCAAAAATAAAAAAATAAAAATAAAATGAAAGAATACCTCCATTCTCTCAGGACCCCCTAGCAGCAGCCACACTCTATAGTTCTGGCCAGCCAGTTCAAATGGGGAAATGGGGATTGGGATTGCTGTTCCAGATTATATATTACTCTCATATGGATTTATTTTTTATACATTTGGTAAAGTCTAGCCACTCTTTTCTACTTCAGCATTTTACAGCAAGTACCGTTTCGGCCTCGTTACATAGGACATTGGGGATATGGTGATAAAGTACAAATGTAGTGGCTCCATTACTGTTACAAATGAAGGTAGATTGCTTAAAAATACTGGAAAATACTACATTTTACTTCTATGTTCCTTTTTCTCAATTTTATCTATCAATGCTATGGAGATGATCTCACTTAGGAGGCTCTCACTCCTGTCTGTCTTAGTCTCATTTTCCCTTTGTTTTTTTTTCCTAATTTTGTGAGTCATCCTCCTTCTTTAATATTTTACAAATGAACTGATGTTATAAACAGCGGTTGGCTTTGATTGCCATTTCTCTTTTCTTGTATAGGAGATTACATTTACAGACTGAACTTTTGGGGGCCCCTCATTGTGGCAATTATTTTGAACCAGCTAAACTTCTCTAAAGAATGATAATAGTCTGGACTTTTTTCCATTTCCCATTTTTCAGACTTGACAGTACATTTAAACATTGACTGAATTGGAGCTGCTTTGCTCTGTGATCTCACACAGTGTTTTCTCCTCATCTTTATTTTTTCTTCTAATTTGGTATTGATTTTGACCTTAGCTCTATGCAGTTGATGATAATATGACTGCACACAGACAGCTGCTCCTGAAATGACTCCTGTGTCTACAACAAATTTTTTTTTTTTTGGCTAAGATACTTGATTTTTTTTTGTCTGTGTCATATATCTCAGTCCTTGCCATGTCCAGAGTTTTCTAATTCTCTTCATGAAGAAAATGTTCATCATGTACAGATGTGAAGCTTCTGATTATTCTGATAGCTATTGACTTCTTTTATGTCTTGATTCTAAATCACGTATTATAATGTAGGTTTGCCATTCTCCTCTTTATATTGAAGTCGAGTCCCAAGCAATATGTGGACTTGGTTTATTTCTCATAATTGCACATTTTCTCACCGTCTGCAATATATGTTGGTCTGTGAGTCAAGCAATTATCAAGAATTTATTAATCTTTTCTTATGAGTCAGTCATCATGCTGGGTGGTGGGGATACAATAGCAATAGTGAAACATCTCTCACTTTCCCCTTGTGAGAAACATATACACATATGCAAAGTATATGCAAAATGCATATAAAGGTAGTTTTCTGGGGCGAGGCACTAGCAGTTTGGAGGATCAAGAAAAATCTCATGCAGGATCCAGTATTTGAGCTAAACATTGAAAGAAATAAAAAAAAAAACTTTGAGAAGCAGAGGTTAGGAGAAAACATGTTCCAGGCATAAGGAACAGCCTGGGTAGAGCCACAGAAATGGAAAATAGAAATAACTTTCTCTAATACTTGTCTTATCTCCCTAACTAGATTGTAAATAGGGTGAGGGTTGTGCATTAATGTTCTTTGTACACTCCAGAGGGACAGCTAGGTGATACAGTGGCTAGAGTGCCAAGCTTGAGTCAGGAAGACTCATTTTCCTGAATTCAAATCTGGCCTCCGACACTTACCAGCTGTGAGACCCTGGGTGAGTCATTTAATCCTGTTTGCCTCAATTTCCTCATCTGTAAAATGAGCTGGAGAAGGAAATGGTAAACCATTCCAGTATCTTTGCCAAGAACACCCCAAATGGGGTCACAAAGAGTTGGACATGACTGAAAAATGACTGAACAGCAACATATACTCCAGAGTTTCCAGCAGAATGCCTTCCACAAAGTAGCTAATCAAATCATATTTTTCAATGAATGAAAATCTGTCATACTATATCTTTAAAAAAAAATCACTTTGGAACTAAGAGCAGATAAAATGGCCTGCTTGAGTCCTTGGTATCTGTGCATTCCCCTCCCTGCCCCACCATGATTATCAGTTTCTTGTGGAGGCCAGGCTGAGTTTCTGTTGCTACAACTTCATCACCTTTTGTCATCCACAGCATTTAAGATAAGATTCAGTGGGTCCCTTTATTTATTAGGGGAGCTTTGGAATGAAATGCTATATTATTATTATTGTGGCCTGAGAATAAGAAAGGGTACATCCCATCTGGAAGTGGCAGGGGTGACATTAAAACCACTTTTGGGGAACCTGCCCTTATTTTGAAATGTTAATTTTTGTTTATTTGCTCCTTGTCAGTACTCATATCCCATGATGAAAACGTCTCATACCACAATTATATATGTATTTCTATTTTTGCTCATCACAGACTGAGCAAATAAAAAAAAGACTCTCTTCTTGTTTACTCAATTTCTTACTGTAATATTGCTTATAAAACAAAAAGAAAAATCCAAAACATTAGCTTTTATTTTTTATCAAAAATAAAAAGGAAAAAATCCTCAGCCAGAATGGTTGATTGGTAATATAAGTCAAGGAGTACTTGATACACTGAAATGAAGAGAATCAGATGAAATTAGGATTTTTTAGGTGTCAAAAGACGGATAATAGAAACAAAATCTAGAAACCATTAGGAAGATATCTAACCATTAGTATAATGGCACAGCTTTTCAGAAGGGATGGAAACTTGGTGGAGAGCTATTACTCTGTCCTAACTTTCCACTTGGGGCATACATGCTGCCTGAAAGAAGTTTACTTTGGAATTCTGCAAAATTGCTTGCCCAAAGGTTGGATGATAATAACAATGCTTCACATTTCTATAGCAATCTACCCTTTGTAAAATTCTTTTATGCATATTATCTCAGGAGATCATTAAAACATTCTGAGCTGTAGGAAGGTTTGTCAAACCTCTGTAACGTATGGAGAAACTGAAACAGAATGAGTGACAGGACTCAGCTAAGGTCACATAATTAGCAGTAGAGCTGGACTAAAGCTCAGGTTTTCTGACTCCTTGTCCCACATTCTTTCCATGACAAGGTTAAGGGTAGAGTAGAAATCTTTGTTCAAATTTATTGTCATCTGTTCGTATCACCTGGAGAGCTTCCTTAAACAAAATTTTGCTTGCATAAAACAAATTGCATTTTCAGGGGTGTATGTGCGTGTGTGCATGTGTGTGTGTGTGTGTGTTCGATATCTTGAACACTTAAAAATGATTTAATCTTCATCTGGGGAAAACAGCACAATGTCTATCTATGTAGAGGTGGCTAGATGGCTCAGTGGATAGAACACTGGGCCTAGAGTCAGGAAGACTTGAGCTCAAATATGGCCTTAGACACTCATTAGCTGTATGACCCTGGGCAAGTCACTTAACCTCTATTTGTCTTAATCTATGAGACAATTAAATGGAAAACCACTCCAATATTTTTGTCAAGAAAAACCCATACAGGGTCACAAAGATTCAGATACGACTGTAACATCTAACTTTGGGAGCAAATTAAAGAACAAAAAGTTTCTTATCATTAATTTCAAGTGTGATTGTTACCTAATATACTGTTTTTTTGTTTTTGTTTATGAACATGTAGCCAGTTAAGGTAGTTTGTACACATTGGCTTGTGCCATTTGAGGCAATTAAGTGGGCATAGTGGATAGAGCACTGGACTTGGAGTCAGGAAGACCCGAGTTCTGATCTTGCCTCATTCTTACTAGCTGTGTGATGTTGGGTAAGTCATTTGATCTCTCTGTCACAGTTTCCTCATCTTTAAAATGAAGATGATAATAGTACCTACCTCATAACATTGTTGTGAAGATCAAGTGAGATAGCATGTGTAAAGCACTTTACAAATCTTAAAGTATTACATAAGTACTAGCTATTAAACAGAAATTGGTTTGCACATGGTTTTCTTTCTTAATCCCCTGAATTGTTCTTCTTTCAGCAAAAACAGACCATCAAATTGTTTTCTTTTTGGCTGGAGGGGCAGTTTCATTCTTACTTCTTGTGATATCTATCATCATCATCATCACTTACTGTTGCAGGTGAGTACATTTGCTAATCAAAAGCCTTGTCTGCATCAAGTCTGATGTTAGAATAACTGTATGCCTTATACTGACAGTTTGTCAAAGTTCCTTTGCTATTATCTTCATTTCTTTCACTGTTACTACAAGTTCTGATGGGATGGTGAAATGAAGAATAGCAGAGGTGGTGATGGTGGAAAAAACCCCTCAACTAAGACATTTAATAATTGTCAGAGTTGACAATTTGCCCATTCTTATGTGATCTTTTGGGTTCTAGGTAATTACTGGCAGAAACCATGTCTTTCTATTTTCTTCTGCTTATATTGGAATCAATGGTGAATAACCAGAAGATAAATTTCTAGAGTCAAGGTGAAGACCATGTGTGGCTTGAGGAAGATGAGAGGAGAAAAAAAGTAGGGGGACATTAATTAGTGGTAGGAGGAAGAAAAGTTTCAACAATCTCTTTTGGTAGACTGTTGGAATATTATACTGGAAAAGACGTAGTTTTATCTTCTAGTCAACAGGAGCAGCTAGTCATGTGATGCTTTAAAAGGAAATGTTAAAATTCTGCAGATCAAGAAGGAAGCTGAGCCCCAGGGCATCTTAGTAGTTTGCCCTTTTTTCAACATATATATTACAACATAGCTTTTGCCACTCTCTCTTGCACCCACATTTTAATTGAAGTCATTGAGTTCCAAGGGATATATTGACTTATTTGGAGAATAAATTTCTCATAGAATTACCTACTTGTTCATCCTGTCCAACATCTGTTGGTACATCAATCAATCAATCCATCAATTAAGAAGCATTTATTAAGCACTTATTGTGAACTAGGTCTTACGTTAGATGCTCGAGATACAGAAAAAAAATAAAAAGTCCCTCCCCTGCCCCTACTGGGGGGACATGTTCATATGTAAGTATATACAAAATGCATATAAAATAATTGGGGAGGCACTACCAGCTTGGAAGGGGTGAGGTTTAGATAAGACCTCAGGGAAGACCAGAACTTAAGCCAAACTTTGAAGGCCAATAGAGGTTCTAAAGGTGGTAGCAATACCAACATGTCACATTTAGACAGAAAGTTAACCTAGTGAGTTTTTATCCCCATCTTACAGATATGGAAATTGAGGTTCAGAGAACTTGTGAGTTTTCCATGGTCAAATAGCTAGCTAGTACATGTAAGAGCTGTGATTTGAACATGAAGTTTCTGACTTTCAAGTCCAGTGCCTTTTTAAATATGACACACCAGACTTCTTCCTTTAAGCCATTCATTCCTGAAACAGGATACCTCCGAAGATTTTTGACATTTCTAAGAAAGGAGTTTCCCCCTCTTTTGACACCTCTGCTCCTTCTTACATCTAAAGTGAATTCGTTCTTTATTAGCACATTTTCTATTTTTTTCTTCTCAGTTGGGATGAAAAACAATTAGTCAGTTATTTCTGTAATAAGGATGGATTCTAGACCTATAATTTCATCAGTGTAAGGAACTCCCTGGTGAGCACATACCAATGCAGGTCAGCATCTTTTCTTCAGCTTATATTCTTAGAGAGCTGCTTAGAGAACACCGAGGTTAAGTTACTTAGTTAGCTTCACACGATTAGTATGTGCTAATGATGGAACTTAAATCCAGTTCTTCATGACTTCAATGCTGGCTTTCTATATGCTGTTCCTTCTTTCTTTTCTTTTTTTTTTCTTTTTTTCTTTTTGGTAAGGCAATTGGGGTTAAGTGACTTGCCTAGGGTCACACAGCTAGTAAGTGTCAAGTGTTTGGTCTGAGGCCACATTTGAAGTCAGGTCCTCCTGACTCCAAGGCTGATGCTCTATCCATTGCATCACCTAGATGCCCCTCCGTCTTTCTATGTAATAACCTTGCATATATAATTGAACAAAGTTACTCATGCTATTGACGTCATTTGCTATTTGCTTTTTTTCCCTTTCCCCATCATTGTTTTCTCTTTTCTTCACTAATCCCTTGTTGTGTTTTTCTCCTTTAAGGTCAATAAATATTTGTTGAATTGAAACATTTGTTAAACAATTCTCTTTGTATTACCTGTAACATAAGGCAGTTATAAGGTATGGGAATAACAGTGCACATAGACAGCTTGTTCAATGTCGTGGAGCTCATCCTCATGTGTCCATAGGAGAATGACTTGTAACTAACTAGCTGTAGGAAATTGGCGGATGCTATTTAATGGCAGATGTGAGCTGCAGGAAGGTAACAAGGCCAGGTTAATAGGTGATAGCAATTGACAGTTCCTCATAAAGGCCTACTATGAATCAGTCACATAAATAGCTCTGTGTCCCCTTGAAAAGGCACCTGGGCACAGTGGACAAGGAGTCGGCCTCAGAACCAAAAGACTTAGGTTTAAGTTCAACTCTGATAAAAGCAAGGGGCAAGTTACTTAACTTCTCAATGTCCTAGGCAGATGTCAAAGACTACAAGTTTCAGAGATGTTGCCTGCATTAGTAGAGGGAGTTTCCTTGTTTGGGAGATCTCTACATCAAATCAGAGATACAGACTCTATCTCTATTTGTAAGACAGTAAGAAAAGACACCAGAAAAGTGATGAAATAGCAAGTTTGAATAATCAGGATGCCAAAAGAAGAGTGTAAGTGATTTTAAGATTAGGCCACATACTATGACTTGTCCTAACAACTCTGTTGAATGTGGATTTCCAGGAGGAAGAGAATATCTAAGGCACTGTGGGATACTCAGACCCAGGTAAGGTTTCTCAAGGAAGAGTTTATTTTGGACAACATTCTTGTGATAACTTGTGTGTGTGTGTGTGATTGATTTTACATGAAAAACACTTTTTTATATTTGCCAATCTTGATTTTATTCCTAAGTGATCTGGTCATTGATAATGGCCTCAACTGACTTCAGCTAATCTTCAGCTAGCTTCAATTTTTTTTATTGATGTTTTAAAATTAGTCTCCTAACATTGGTGACCTTTTATAATAGATTTTGTTATGTTAATATTAGTAAAGAAATAATTGCTGTTCAACATGAACAATACATTGTCACTGAAAATAGCATAATATGTTCTATAAGCATGCATGAGAAAAGCACAGAGGCAATGTGGCGCATAGAACACTAGATTTGCAATTAGAAGGCATGGGTTACAAGTCTCATCTCTGCTAGTTACTTTGTGTGTGTGTACAGGAAAGTCACTTATTTGACACTTAGATCCTTCACTTATAAATAGGGGTAGCAATATTCTCATATCTTATCTCACAAGGTTGTAGTGAGGAAAAGCCTAAAAAAAATAAGTTATTTACTATGCTACTCTACCAGGCCCTTTCAAATTAGTAAATTCTCTTGTGTGTAAATTATAGCTTTATATTCCTTTTTAGATATATTCCTTTTTAGGTTTCTCAGTATTTAAATAACTCCTTCCCATTATTCCCAAGAGATTAGAATTTTGCTGGAGACTAAGGATAGAGACTAACTGTTAATCACATACTGCTTGCAGAACTTGGAAAAAAATTTAAGATAGGCGTGTTGGTTGATGTCTGTAGTCCCTGCTCCTAGGAAGATGAGGATGGTGGATCACTTGAGGTGAGGAGTTCTCAGCTCCAATAGGGCTAAAAGTCAATCAGTCAATCCACACTAAGATTGACATCAATATTGTTAGCCTCTAGGAGGAGTAGAGAGGCAACCTGGCCCAATTTGGAAAAATGAAACATGTTAAACTTCTCTGTGGGACAGTATTAGTATTGGCCCATGAATGGCCTCTGACCTACTATCCATACCCAATTTTCCTGCCCCCCACCCCAAATAAAAACCCCAAACAAAATAGTTAAGTCTTATAGGTTTAGGAACTGGACTTACAGTTTCATCCCAAGAGAAAATTCCCTATGTCAATGAATATAAACACCTTCTCCATTATTTTTAGTCTTAGAAAGTTACCTTGGGGACTGAGAGGTTAAATCATTTCCCAATAGTAACACAGTCAGTATGTCTCTAAGGTGGGACTTGATCTCAGGTCTTCCTGGTTCTGAGGCCAGCTCTTTATCAGTTATGGCTCTCTCTCTCTCTCTTTTTCTCTCTCTTTCTCTCTCTCTCCCCTTCCTTCCTTCCCTCCCTCCCCCCCATTTTCCCTCCTTCCCTCTTTTTTTCTCTCTCTGTCCCTCTCTTTTCATAGGTGTATCTATATTTTATCTTTATTTTTATATAACTATATCATTGATATTTTACATATATATTTATATCATCTATCTATCTTTATATCTAAAAAGAAATTTAAACAAATGATAACTAGTCTGTAATAGGATATGATGAGAAATTTCGGTTTTTTAAGATAGCAACAGCTCATTGCTCTCTGTTTACTTAGCATACATAAAGCTTTTGAAATGCTTTTGCTCATTTGGATTTTTTGCTCAGTTGGATTCATACTCTGGAAGTCAGCAGAGTTTGATTATGCATCTGTATAGTGATAATTTGTTTCAAGGACATTTCTTGACCTTTGAAAGCAAATCAGAGAGGTTACCAGAAAAAAAATAGAATCAAAATGATTTAAAGATTTCCAGCAGGAATACAATTTGGTTTCTTTGGGACACTAGGGAAATGTTAAAAGTGTTATTCAAAATTAATGAGTTATTTAACACTAGCTGCTATGACCACTCCATCACCACCTTATTTTATGATTTGTCACTTTTGTGTCTTTTTCTTTGACAATGCCCAATCAGGTAACTTGTCATGAATACTGGGTAAAAAAAAACAAACAAAAACTAAAAACTGAAGGATGCAATAAAACTCATTCATTCCCTTGAATTCAAAAAATCCTTTCTAAGCTGCTTTAGAAAATAACTTTTCTGATTCACCTATTCAGCAGAAAAATAGGTCATAGTAACACATTTATATAACATTTTCTCACACACGCACTCATAACTCTTTGAGCTATATTAAAGTGCAAATAATTTAATCTCCATTTTGAAGATGAGGAAACTGAGGCTCCGAGGGATAATGTGACTTGCTTGGGGTTACATGGCTACAAAGTGGCAGAGCTAGGACTTAATCTAAGATCTATCTGATTCCAAGGCCAGTCGTCTTTCCATGCTTCCTCTACAACCTCATCTAGACTTACATGCTGTCTATAATAAACAGAAAGTGACATGAAGATTTGAGTTAATTATTTTAATAAATTAGTCAAAAAATGTTTCACAATTGAGAAAAAAATATTGCTATCACTTTAATTTCTAGGTTGGTAATATCTGTAACTTGAAACAATTTGAGCTATCTTGTTAAATTTCATTCTAAGTGAAAATGACTTGAACCACCATCAGAAATTTTTTATGCACACATACAACTGATCATTTTGCTTGCTTGGTAAATTAAAACAAAATTTAATAGAAGTAATTTTGTTATTTGCTGTCCTGAGACTAGTATTAGAAGTGCTGAAGTGTTTCTGGGCTACATCTAGGGTTCCTAATTTTCACATATTGTTTATAAAATACACACAATGAAAGGAAACATTTTATATATTTTATCAGTATTTGAATAGAAGAAGTTGGAGTTCCTGTTCAGGTTTTTAAAGGAAGAGACTGACAGAGAAAAGTTTAAATGCTATGATATGAATGGTTAGAGATGTAAAGTATATGTCATATGCACATAATAATGTCCAAACTAAACTTACCTTAAATATTGTGGAAAAAAATACTTTCTCCCTGTAGTCTTAATCTCTTGGAGCATAGACAGGTTAGGTGATTTACCCAGGGTCACATGGTGAGTATCATAGGTGAGATTTGAACTGGTGTGCTTGGCCAGCTCTCTAGCATTTTAATGTTTTTAGGTAGACTAAAAACTATGTGATTCTTGAGTCACATTGAACTGAGGCTTTTGAGGTCCTTTTTGCCTTTTTCTTGTTCCATGGGCTGCTGTGTCTAAAGAACTCATCAAGTGGCCAACATAAAATCTCACATAAGATCTAATGTAAATAATGTATCTAACAATACATAATTTTAACACATATAATTGTTATATATACATTATGTTATAGACAGTATACACACATATATACATGTATCTAAATGTATATATATATGTGCTTGTGTATGTTACTATATTACTTGGAAAGATTTATGAATTAACTGAGAAGCTTTTCTGATGGAAGTGATTATATACACATATACATATATAAACATCTATACATACATATCCACTTATATACAATACACTTACAAACACATATATATGTGTATACACACACACACACACACACACACAAATACATATATATCCAGGGCATTGGAATAGGTTATTGGGGGTTGAAATGACAGTGTTTATGAGACCATGAAAGTGAAAGGCAGATTTATTTTATGGTTCTTTCCTTCATTCCTTTACTATACTAAAAGATTTCTTTCTGCTCTCTAGTTCACTTTATCCTTTCCAAGTGATGGGATCATAGATTTAGAGCTAAAAGAGACTTTAGAGGTAACAACCCCCTCACTTTATTGACAGCCAGACATCTGTTGTATTTCACTTCAAACTTATACTTTCATATTTGGAATGTATTTTCATATAGAAGTTCACTGTGGACACTGATAATGAAAATACCTTGTAAAGTCAATTGTGATAGGGTTTGGCTTCTTGTGCTGACAGGGGGTGAAGGCTATCAGAGCTCATGTATAATCTGCATTTTTAGTAACTACTGAAATAGAAGCATTTATTTTTCTGAAATTCTTTCCTACTTCTTTTTCTAGCCATCTAAAAACTATGCCAGAAGTGGGGTTCCTGACCAAACTCAAGACTACAAAGAAGAGGATATTTATGTCAACTGTCCTGCCTTCTCTCAAAGACCAAATCCAAGATAGCAATTCTTCAATCTGGTCCAAGCAAGCATATAGAGTCAAATATGTATTGTCTTTAGAGAGCTCCTCCTCTGTATTCGCAGATCTATATTGATTGCATTTACTTTGTTTTATACAGAGAAGACTGCATAATCAAGTAAATATCACTATTTGATTGAGAATACTCAGAAATATCTGAGAGATTGGTAAGATAAGTGGGGACAGGGAGGCATAGCGACCTCCCATAGATTATGCCTCTCCCTTCTGAAAGTCATTCTAATCATTTAGTCAGAGTCACTCTAAGGGCGTGCTCCTCTGAACCTTGTACTGCTGAAAGTGGAATGACTAGATGACTGATGAAAGAGGAGATGGTGTGAGGTGGCCTTTCCTTCTTCTCTTCATATGTCTTGGTGTACCTCTCTCTGTAACTGTTGTATTCCATCCCCAAATATTAACTTTTCCTTCTCATTTCACCATTATATTTTCATTTCTTTGGATTTTCTTTGAGTTCCCCCTTAATATCCAAATATCCCTTAATTATTATCTAATATATTAATAAGACATTGACAGTCAACTGAGTCAACTGAATAGGACACTATATTAGTAGTTGGAGTTGGGTGAAGAAGCCACCAAATGCAAACTCTTATTCTTTGTCCAAAGCAATGTGACTTCCCCTTCTGGTTCCCAACCCTATGTCTAGTCTAGGCCTGTTGGTTAGCATACAATAAGAAGTATAGAAACTAAAACAAAAACAACAGAAAATATCATGTTAGGCTTCAGTTGTTGTTCAGTCATTTCAGTTGTGTCCAACTCTCTGTGGCACCATTGGAGGTTTTCTTGGCAAAATTACTGGAGTGGTTTGCCATTTCCTTCTTCAGCTCATTTTATAGATGAGGAACTGAGGAAAATGGGGTTTAGTGAATTGCCCAGGATTACATAGCTGTTAAGTGTTTAAGTGATTTGAACTCAGGAAGATGAGTCTTTCTGATTCCAGGCCCAGCACTCTATCAACTGCCACCCAGCTGCCACTGGTATAAAACACTTAGTATATTGATCCTTAATTTCTGAAAGATATGATTCATTTTACTAAAAGGTACAGTTAAATTCTACAGATATTTTAAGCCTAGGGCAGGCCATTAGGTAAATTAGAGAAAAACAAGATCAGTTTTCCAGGTTGTTTACAGAATACAAGTATTGTAATTTATCATTGTAAACATATCAATTAATTTTAAAAATATTTTGGCCTTAATTTATTTTATAAACAAAACATTAAAATTGTTTTATAGGCTAGGACAATTCTTGTTTACATTGTGGCTCAGTGATCGAAGAGATATGTAATCAGTGTTCACTTTATACAGTTAAGGGAAACAGTGGGGGACAATGGGAAAAGCCCTAGATTTGCAAATCTAAGTTCAATGTCCAGACAGGCCACATACCATGTATATGACCTTGGACAAATCATTTAACTTCTCTGGGCCTCAGTTTCCCCATCTCTAAAATAAGAGGATTGTATTAATGATCTCTGTGGTTCCTTCCACCTTGAAATCTCTTATCATATGACTTCATATGTCAAGGGATAGATATGTCCTCTGTTGAGCAGATCCAAATGTTATTGCTATAGGATAGGTTATGGTCAATAGTCAATAAACATTTTTAAAGTGCCTACTATGTTCTAGACACTGTGCTAAACACTGGGGATACAAATAGGAAGAAAGTCCTTGTCCTCAAAGTGCTTATAATCCAATAAGGACTGAACATGTCATTTCCACACATATAGGGAACTCCTGGATGAAGAAATCGATGTAGATTGTACTTTCTCTGTAACTTATACTATTAAGCAGTTGACTAGAGCACTGAGAAGTTAAGTGATTTGTCCAGGGGTCACACAGTCAGTAATCATTAGAATGAGACTTAAACCCATCTATGCCTATCTCTGAATCCAGCTCTCTATCCATTATTCCATGGCACTTTTTATATTGTTAGATTATATTTTATTAGATTCATAAAGTGCTTTCCAAAAAAGTTTAGTTAAGGAAATAGAATCTATAGTTTATAAAATTTTGGCCCATTCTGTTATCTGTTTCATAACTGTGGTAGGCCAAATAGGATCTGTTGCCTCTACCTGTTGGTGAGATGACACATGTTTAATGAAGCTTGATTTAATTTTAAATAGTGAATGATAATTTCTTAGCTTTTAAAGAAAATAAGAAAAATCACTTTCAGGCCAATCCTGACAACCAAAATCTCCCTGATCAATGGAAATGACAAATAAAATAGATGTGTCTTGAAAAAAAAATTCAGAGAGAGGCAAATTCCAACTAAAAGAGTAATTATTACATGTAGTGTTCAATAGAACTAGAAATCATTACTTTTTACTGCTTTTGCTAATAGTTTTACTTCAATTATCTATAACAGCTTCCTTGATAGGCCAGAGTATTTGAGAAGGCTTCAATTTTTTTTTATTGCTGGTTTGAATGTTTTTATATCTATTTCAAACCATTCTCTAGAAATATCCATTTTATGTCATCTTTTTGGGGATTAGGTATGTATATATGTGATATACGAGTCATTATCTTGTCTGATGATTCCATTCTTCCTTTCAATAGACTACATTGGTTGCCATTAAACTCTAGGATCAAGTATGAACTCCCCTGATATTTAAAGCCCTTTACAACCTGGTCCTAAGGTATCTTTCTAGTCACATTATGTATTATTCTTTTTATATACTCTGTGTTTTAGCCATACTAGTCTTATTGCTGTTTTTAACAAATAATACTCCATTTTTCTAGTTCTATACCTTTAAACTGATTGTTTCCCAAACCTGAAATGCCCTTGCACCTCATTTTTCCTTCACAGACTCCCCAGTTTGGGCAACGTGACATCTCTTTCTCTTTTTTTTTTTCCTTTTTTTTTTTTTTGCTTTTTTTGATGAGGCAATCAGGGTTAAATGACTTGCCCAGGGTCACACAGCTAGTAAGTGTCATGTGTCTGAGACTGCATTTGAACTCGGGTCCTCCTGACTCCAAGGCCAGAGCTCTATCTACTGCACCACCTAGCTGCACCTCTTTCTTTCTTTCTTTCTTTCTTTCTTTCTTTCTTTCTTTCTTTCT